GCTTAGGGTTTAGGGCCTTTTAGGGTTTAGGGTTCAGGGGCTAAGTTGTTCTGGGTTTAGGGTTTAGGGTCTGTAAGCTTGAAGCGGTTTTGGGGGACGAGGCTCTGCGGTGCTCCGCGAATGCCCGGGTTGGGGGTTTTTGGGGTCACCAAAAGCTCGACACCAAGCCCAGATCACTCCAAGATAACTACCAAGCCTAAAACACCCTTCATTTTGAAGGCTTTTTCCTCCAACCATACAGTAGTACAGGTAGTAACGGCAGTACAGTAGCAGTCCAGTAGTAGTACTGATAGGGCTAAGGTTTTATGCAAAAAGGTTTACGGGTGCGGGATACTACAGGGTTGGGAAAATTGTGGGTGCCAAAGGTTAATTGTACACAATCAAGTATGGTCAAGCATCTGGGGCCAAGGTTTTGTTTAGGGTTGAGTTGAGGGCTCTTTAATTTGGACTTCAGGGCCAGGGTTGGGGAATAGTACAGGGTTGGGAAAATTGTGGGTGCCTTATCTCGGTAAGGAAGCAAAGGAACAAAAACAATCAGCCGGCCAAAGGAAAACCGCGTTAACGACCCCCCCCGGAACAAAAAGAAAGCACGATGCAGTGAAGTGAATCAGCAAACAATGCATTATAGACCCACGGCGGACTAAACCCACCGCCACATTCACTATTCAGACTATTCAACCCTAAACCCTAAACCCCCTAAACCCTAAACCCCTAAGCCCTAAACCCTATTCTCTAGGTTTTCCTCATTGCAGGTTCAGGATTCCGGCATTCAGGTCGACTGGTCTAGCAAGTGTACGGCTTGTCGTCTAGGTCCCTATATCGTTCCGCATCGGGTTGTTCAATAGCTACGAGTGGCGTGATGCCCCTAAACCCCGAAATCCCTAAACCCCGAAACCCCTGAACCCAAACCCTAAGCCGAAAAACTTAAGTTCAGGTAATGCCACGCGACATGGACCCTTAAACTAAGATTCCGCAACTTCCCCGAAACCCAGAGGACGGATAAACCTCAGACAAACCCTGACCCCATGGGAGTTTCCGAAAATGAGGCTACCTAAACTTGGGGTCCTCATAATGCGGATCCTACTATTTTTGGGTCCCCCATTTTCGGAAACCACCATGTTCAAACATCCGGAGCGGTCCTTGAACCCGATCTAAGCCCCATAGTAAGCCCTAAACCCTGAATCCTATGTCCCTAAACCCTAATCCCTAAACCCTAAACCCTATAGCCATAACACGAAGCTTCGACCCTTCCTTCTGTTTGGCCCAGGGCTCCTTCGCCATTGGCGATATAGACTCGGAAGGGCCCGGGGTAGCGCCATGGCGGGCAACTCTCCAACATCACCCCTACCGGGTGTGACACGGGGAGGTGCAAAAGCTGCCCCTATTGGAAGCTTAGGCAGCAGCTTCGGCAGCAGTTAAGAAAGATTTTTCGCAGTTGATCGCGAGTTTCAGAACCCGTAACTAAAGCAAAGCAACCAAGAACGGAGATGTCTTGAAACTAGCCAAGGCATCACCATCCACTCTCCTCTCGGCTCCGTGACCAATGGCGGCGCTTTTGCCAGCGGTCACTTCAAAGTCACGCCCCATGGCCAGCGACGCCGTTGGGCAGACATGACCCCAGTTGAGATGTGGCCAGCCACTCCGAGCCCCGGGGCTGGGCCAGAAGCCCTGCACAGTTTCGGCGTGCCCGCCGCCAATGCAACGCCCACCTCCCCATCGACAGTGCCACCGCAGGCTTTCCCTGCATACACAGTGACCTCTCAGCCACAGAGCCAGCCGCAGCATGCCCCACCATCTCACATGCAAGTGCACCCAGTGCCTGAGATGCGTTTCAGGGAGAGGCCGTGCAGTCTTCAAGTTTTCGTGACATTTGACATGATTCCCCCCCGCCCCCCCTCCCCTTCGGCCTTGAAGCTCAGGCGCCCGCACCTGTGCAAGCGGTACCTGCAGCGGCCTCGATTCCGGCGCCGTTCCCGGGTGGTGTGATCCCGGCGGGTATGCCAGCAGTCCCAATGCCTGGCATGCCGATGCCCATGCCAGTGCAAGGACTTCCCGAAAGCCTTTTATCGCCCTGAGAGTCATAGTACAAGATAACCAGAGGACCCAATACCCCTTAATTGAGGAATATACTTTCAATCACAATATTAAGGCCCCTGTAATTTAAGGTGTATTCTTTAATTACGGGGTATTGGGTTCAAACATCTAGGTTTTGCAGGGGCGAGGTTGCACACTGCGCTACCGACCTCGGGGTTGTGTCAAGGTGAGTCAAGGACACATGGGGATCGACCAGTCGTTTAGGCCTTCGGGGGTTTAGTGTTTAGGGTTTAGGGTTTTCACTATTGTAAGGAGGCCAACTTTTTGAAGGATGAACTCTCTTCCCAAAGAGCTTCACATTGAGATTCTGCTAATTTTGGAACTGAAACTGAAGGTTTTGGCTTCTGAAATTTAGGGCACATCCTAAAATCCCGCATGCGAAGCCCGAAACCAACAACTGAGCCCCAAAAAAGCAGTACGAGCCCTTCAACCCTGAACCCGGATCCCTCTAACCTGTTCGTCCTAGCCAGGCGGGAGGCAATAAATAGGGTTCGGTGTACATTCTATTATAGCTATAACAATCAATCCCAAATTATGGAGGTAAGTATTGAGGCCCCTACATTGCCAGACCCCCAGGAGGCGCTGATGGCACACAGATGGTCATCATGCAGGTCACTGCCTCGGAACGCTTTTGGGGCTCCGGGGGGAAGGGAAAGTTCCTATCAGGGCGCCTTTACGGGCTTCTTTTCCAGGGTTTAGCGTTTGGGGTTTAGTTAGGGTTTAGGATTCCTTTTTTCGGGTTTCTCTTAAGGGTTCCTTCCAGGGTTCTCTTGAGGGTTCTGAGGTTCATGCTTTCAGGGTTTGGGGTTTTGGCCTAGGGTTAGGGTAGGGGCCTAGATAATTACCTATAGTATTTTGGGGGCTCCTTATTATAACTATAGTATAATGGGCCCCTTTGAAGGCCCTTGGCCTAAGAGCCAAGAAGTCTCTGGGCCCCAGGGAAAGGGCTCAGTGCCCAGCACCCGAAACCTCAGAACTCGAAACCCCTGAACCCTGTATTCCTAGATCGTCAGCAGCCTACGATCTCTGCAACATAGTAGCCTAAACTTCTGGAAGCTGCTTTGGGGTGTGGGATGTAAAGAAAAAGGTCTAGGGTTTAGGGCCGAGTTGAGGGTTTTTACACGCCGCCAGGAAACCCCAACCCCGAAACCCCGAAAGCACGAAGCCCCGAGCCGAGGTACCTGCAGGGGCACAGCAGCCACAGGCCTTCATCCAAATGCCCATGGCTCCTCAACAGCCTGGTACACAGGCGGGGCTTGTGGGTTCATGGGATTCAGGCTTTGGGGAACGGACAGATTGTTTTGCGTCTTGTAATCTCCGAGTAGCTTGCCGCGGAGCTGGACCAACAGCTTGCAGCAAAGAGGGTTTCAGGGTTTTGCGGTACGACAATCGAGACCCAGCATTCCCCGAAGACTTGCTGCTGCGGCACACCTAAGAAAGCGGGCAACACCGGGTTTCTGACTGTCAAGCTCCAAGTGTCTAGTCTAGTTTCTCAAAAGCTGACTTGAGGAATGAGTCTCAGATGGGGGGTGCGGGCCCCCTATAAAGCACTAAACCGTGGGCCTACGCCCTAGCCGTTAGTCCAAGCCCTCTGTCGTAAGGAGCTTTCAGAGAGAACGGTCCACCAAGCAAACACTGGCTCAAGTAACACCTTAGCCCCCCAAACGAACGATGTACCCTTTTAAGGACTTATATCCTAAACCCTGAACCCATATAAGGAGACCACAATCCGGAATCCTACAAGGGCAGGATTTATAGTCTATAGAATTCAAGCAGAGTTTTATTGTTCTGAGGCTTCCACGAACTGATTTGCACTGGTCACCCAAGTCGAAGGTGGTCTACGGCCTAAAGATCCGCATAGCATAGCATAGTACAGTACAGCACAGTATAGTAAAGTACATCACACTATATTATAATACTCATAAGACTAGATGATAAATACCATATATCTTAGTATTACATTGTGTTGTATTGCATCGCCTTTTCCTATTCGTGTGTTATGCAGGCTTGGTGGCGCTGGGTTCGGATGGTGTCCGTGTTTCTCTGGAGATACGATCTCTAGCTCAGGGCCTGCCGCAGACTTCTATTCGTTGGCTTCGCGGTTCAGGTTTAGGGTTTAGGGTTCTAGGACATTTTCAGGTGGGTAGTTACCGTTATAGGAGCCTTTACGGAAGGTTCATATACCTTATAGAAGCCCTATAGAAGCCCTATATACCCCAAACTCCCCACCCGGAGTTTCCTTTAAAGGGTTGAGCTTTCTATGATCGCGGCCGCCTCGTATTTGGTGGAGGCAGCTTCAAACTCAAAAATCTCTCCGCCAACTCCGCACCGTGTACGTCTAAGTTGAGCTATCGTGTTTGATTGGGCCTAAGCACTAAACCCCTCCATTGCCCGAGTTGCGGGAGTCTAAAGAACCCCAAAACCCTAAAGCCCTGCTGCAGCTCATTTTATCGGATCAGTTGCCAAAAGCAGCTCAAAGTATAGGGGCCAAAAAGCCATGATGCAGAGACGTAGCCGACCTGGACATCTCCGAAGCCTCGGGGCTTTCTGTGCTGCCGCCTGTGCAGCTCGGCTCGTCTGGCATGTACGTAGGAATGTAGGGTTCAGGGTGTGGGGTTTTAGGAATTATAGGATTATAGGGTTTTTAGGGATTTAGGCTTAAGATTTGGGGTTTAGGGCTGGGGTTTTAGGGTGTAGGGTTTAGGGTTCTGGCTGGCTTTCAACAGACAGGTCCAGGTGTGACGAAAGATGAAACAGGGTTTCGGGGCTATGAGTTCGGGCGCCTGCCGCCCGCACGGTCGGTAGAAGTTGGGAAAAGAGAGTGCTTCTTAACCTATACCCTAATCCACATAAGCCGTAAGAGCTGGCGGCGCGGGGTCTGCGGAGTTTGGGGGCAGTTTTGGATTTCCCGAGGCTGTTTGCTGGGGCTGGTTCTGGGGTTGGGGCTGGCTGGGGCCGGTGAGAGGGCTGGTTGGCTACTATAGAAGCTGAAAGAATTACCTACGGTATTCTGGGGGGGGTTCCTTCTTATAAACTATAGTATAATATACCCCAAAACCCTATTCTAATTGTTAAGGCCCCTACATGAGAGGCTCCAACTCGGCCGAACGGGGTTTTGGATTTGAGGAATTTGGGCTTGGTGAGGGTCCAGTTGCTGTTGGAATGATGTCTTGTTGTATGCGTTGCCCGTCATAGTAAGAAGAAGAAGTAGTAGTAGTAGTA